ATGAAATCCTCGGAGAATTTCAGTAACATATCTTTAATCATTTCTAAGATACAACTGTTCAAAGCTTAATCTAACTAATGGACATTTGTGCTTTAACACCCGGTATATATATATATATATATATATATATATATATATATATATATATATATATATATATAAAACAGTATGAAGCAACAATTACCGGTCTGAATGTCCGAGAGATTTTCATAGAAAATATTCGTCCTCCGACAGAATCGAACCTGTATCCTATAGGGAACCGTCATATAGCCTGAACGTAATTTTTAAACCGATTTGGCCACAGAGGAGCGTTAGGTTTGCAAGGTCGAATTTACTGCCTTTAAACTTCAATCTTCATGAATCTCCCACGTACATTCATATCTGCTCAAAGCGTATCCAAATGTATAAATTATAAACAGAGCATTTACTTAAATATCTGTATCTATAAAAGAATGTATAAACATAAAATGTCTTAAAATAATTGTTGGACTTTTGTCCATTTCATAATATATATATATATATATATATATATATATATATATATATATATATACGTGTGTCTTTGTGTGATTAAGTTTTGTTGATTGAGATTTATGCAATAATAAGTATTGATAAAATAAATATATGTAAAAATTGAGGCTGCCGAGGGTGTGTGGTCTTGAACTATAGTTTATTCATCTTATAAAGGCTCTTTCATTAACACTGCTTATATATAAGGGTTTTTCAGTAAGACGAATCAATGTTACCAGTAAATAAATCAGTGTCATTCGTGAAAATCTATGTATTTTTCTATATTGCATCATGTTATTTAAGTCGTAGCAACTATGAGTGAAAACTAATATCGCTCAAATATCCGGCAAATCTGAATGAAAAAAAAAAAAAAATAGACGCTTAAACTTAATTCACATTTAAAATCGGTCCGAGTTATTGGAACACCCTTTATAACCCAGCTTTGTACCCGTGAAAATTACATGATTTTGCTATGTGAATTTTATTACTGATTATTTCATTTGTTTTTACGGCTTATCAACTTCCTAATACTCATTTAAAGTAAGAGACTATTTTTAGATTATAACAATATTTTAGAGATAATAATGATTTACTGATACTTTTCGTTAACCCATAAATTCTTTCCAAAGATTATTTAAGAATAACTGAATATTACCAATCCAAGAAAAATTGGAACTCGGCTCTATGATTAACAATTCCTTACCATTATCTACTATACCATACGCGCAGCTGTTATTCTCAAACGGTCACCCATCTAGCTACTAGCCAGGCTCGACTTTGCTTAACATCGGTGATCTTATGGAGTTTCAATTCTCTGATTTATCATAATTCCTAAGTTTTTGATTGGACAAGGTCTTTGCGTGTTCCACGGCTATATAATTCAACGAATTTGCTAAATATTTGAGCTTATCAACTTTTAAACATTATTGCAATAGGAATAGTAATAAACTATGAACCCTGGCTATTTTTAAAAAAGAATGTTCAAGGAAGAAGATTCAAAATGCTAAAATTCTCCTTAAAACCCGCATAAACGGAGGTGAGTCTGTCTACCCCACCGGAAGAGACTCTGTATTTCAGCATAGCCTCGTCCGTGTTCCTCTCTGCAGAGAGTTCGGCCAGCATAGCTGAAAAAGATTTCAGCTAGGATATTTGCCAACCGCCGCACGCAGTCAGATGTGGCACACGACCGAATTTAACGTGGGATATCCGAGTCCGTATTATCGCCCAAAAAATGGCCGTAGACCCCGTAAAAAACGGGGTCGAATAGCTTTCTACAACCCCAGATGAGACTCTGCCCTTCGGCATAGCCTTGTCTGGGTTCCTCTCTGTCCGAAGGCAGAGAGTTTGACAGATTTCAGCTAGAATATTTAGACACCCCACCCATGAGGGTTGCCTGTGGTACAAGGCCGGGTTTAACGTGGGTTCTCCTTAAACAGAACTCGGCCAAAAAATGCTTTTTTTAACCCGCATAAAGGCATCAGGTTGGTCAACCTCCCCAATGAGACTCTGCCCTTCGGCGGAGCCTCGTCCGGGTTCCTCTCTGCTCAGAGGCAGAAGAATTCCTACTGTCTGGCCGAAAATGATTTCCGGGTCAGACAATATTTAGCCACCACCCCACCACAATGATTGCATGTAGCACAAGGCCGGGTTTAACGTGGGTTCTCCGAGCACGTAAGCTCGGCCAAAAAATGCACGTAGAACCCACATAACGGGATCGGGTTGGTCAACCGAATCGAACGAGAATCTCCCCTTCGGCGGAGCCTCGTCCGGGTTCATCTCTGCTCAGATGCAGAGAGTTCGACCGTCTAGCCGAAAAGATTTCGGATGGACTCTGTAGTCTGTTGACTTACTGATACTTATAGGCAGTTACTACCTATAGTGTTGTCACTCAGGGGTTGATAGGTTATTCCATTACTTCACAAGGGAAATAACGAGAAAAATACTGATCTGCTATTTAATATCAATTCTCCTATATGGCAGTGAATGCTGGACGACTTCCTATAGATGAGGAGGAAAATGATGCTATAGAATGGAGAGAATATATGCTTAACGAGAATGTTTTAATGTGAATGAAAATGAATAGAACACTCATCGTTAGAATCATAAATAAATAGTTGGCATTATTTTAGTAAACACCGAATGCAGAAGTACGTAACTTCGCACCTGAATCCGATATTGAAATCGTTATAAAGAGAATCGTAGCCTCAGACACTTCGAGTCAATGTCTCACACGATACAAACGCAGAATGTAGCTTCCACGTATAGGAGGAGAGGCATCCGCTGACTCTCACATACGGCAGGCGTGTGACGCACAGATATCTAGAATGGATAAAGTGTTGTATAATGTAGATTCCAGTTATGTGTTATCATCAGTAACGGAACCATCTATTTCGTTTCAAAGTTATTTTCTGAATTCAAATCTGATATCTGGTAAGAAGAATTTGTGGCACAGTTTAATCCAATTCTCTGTTGGTGCTTCCAAAATGGGTGGTTCGGTCTACACAAACTTTTAAACAAACGCGGAATTGTTCAGTCTCGCATTTAACTACAGGATTCTCATGCGTCTAAATCCATGTGAGAAATCCATAATCTGTATGAATATTACGACAGTATCGTAAATTAAGCAGTATATTGCCTGTAGAGTGGAAAACTGCCTGTAAGATATGACGATTAGCTTACAAAATGTAATAAAAATAGTTTCATTATAAAATCATGAGCCAACGGGTTTCGATATTAGATTTTATTATATCACAAAAGCGTTCAAAGGTAACTTGGATATAGGTGGCGAATTAAATTTTAAATTGCATTGCAAAATAGGCAAACAATTCATTTATTTCTTCGTTTATTTTCCTAAGGAAATTTCAAAGGAACGTGTCAGAATGAGCATACGAGCAATGATTTGGCGGACACATTCTCACTGCCATTGTAATTTAGACACATACACTCGTCGCGCACACACACGTATGGGTTAATTACGCATTCAAACTGTTTGCACACTCCCCCATATATATATATATATATATATATATATATATTATATGTGTGTGTATGCGCGCGTGCGCGATGTTAAAAATGTGTGTGTGCCTGTATGCGATCGTTGTGATGTTGATTTTTTTTAAAAATACGCGTAAACGCGCTCTGTTATAATTATTTTAAAATTCTAATTTATCTCTTATAACTATTTTTTTTTTTAATTTTATTTTATGGAAAAAAGGCGACGTAGTTTGGTTCTTACCCAAATACTTTCGATACACTCAGTGATCATCCTCAGGGGTGTATTACAAAGAAAATCTTATTGTAACTCTGATCGTTGTGATATAAAATATAGTTTTACGGTATGTGTGTGTGTGTGTGTGTGTATTTATGCGTTAAAATGCTCAATATTAGGGATAGAGCGTTTGTAAATATAAAAGTAGACATTGAAGTCAACATCGACCGGCGACAGTCAGTTTTAGGCTAATATATAATCGTCAGAACATATGTGGTTTTATTTGCTCGACGATTTATATACAAGTCAGTGATGCATTATTGGTAGTTTATTTTATTGTTCTAACGGTTATTTTGGTGGAAGGTATCGGTTACATTTCTAATTATTCTAATGGCTATTGAGTGGAAATTATTGCGGATCATGATGCAGTTTTGGGTTTATTTACAATGTTGATTTTTAATTTTTTTTTTAAATTGTTTTTAATTGTTTTGTTTATTGGCGGGGAGGGGGTGAAATTCGTTTCTGTGGATTTATGTATGATGTTGTGGGTTTGATAATTTGTCAAAAAACAAATTAATAAATAAGTAAATAAATAAATAATAAACAAGTTAGCAAAACGGAAAAAAAACAAAAGAGAAAAGAATCTGAAATAAATATGAATCCTTCCTGCTTCCGTTTAAAAAAGGCTTACGAATAAATATCATCAAAAGGGCGGCACCAATAATTTTTTACCATCTTGTTTTTATTTCACGAAATTCATTGACCGGCCCATTAAATAAACACACACACACACACACACACACATAATTTATTTACCATTTAATGAAGTAGCATAGTTTGCTGCCGAAACATAAAGCACTTTGTGTATCCCGATTTTTAACATATTTCTATTTGAATCCCTTTTATATTATATATGTGTGTGTGTTTGTGTAATATATATATATATATATATATGTAAATATATTTATGTAACTGTATGTATATAATAATTTAACTGAATTTAATTGGCTTGAATAAATATAAATAACACAAAAGCTCTGTATTGAGGAGTCCTCTCTTTAAAATTAAATGCTACAGACATTGGAATTATACTCCATTTGGCCTTATTTTGTAACTATATATATATATATATATATATATATATATATGTGTGTGTGTGTGTGTGTGTGTGTGTGTATGTATATATATATATATATATATATATATATATATATATCTGCGTGTGTGTCTGCGTGTGTGTGTGTAGACAGACAGACAGAGATACTCAGAAAAGCAAATGTTTTTACTTTCTTAAATAGACTGCAATTAGATGTTCGTCTGTATTGAGCTCTTTTCGAATGTTTCTAGAATCACTTGGCCTGCCTCGATGTAACTTGGCTGCTGATCTGAGCATAGGGTAATCCCCCGCAACATAACTGAGAGAGAGCAATGAGGGAGAGTGGGAGATAACCAGAATATTGATGAGCGAAGGAGAGATAGGCAGGGTGAGAAGGAGACTATGATGAATGGAGAGGGCGAGAGAGAGAGAGAGAGAGAGAGAGAGAGAGAGATTATTAGAAGAAGTAAGTGGTCCGGATAGAATATTGCTTCTTCACAGAGTTAAATATAGTAGAATGTAAGAATTCACCATTTTTTTTCAATTATTTCAAGGAACGGTTGTGGGGCCTGAACAAACTGCCATAGATAATTAGATAGATGAAGAAAAAAACTGTAAGAGATTAATTGATAAATTATGGTTTAAACTGAGATAGACTGATAGCCAACTAGATACATAGATAATGAATATTCTGGATATATATATATATATATATATATATATATATATATATATATATATATAATAATCGATTTGGATGTCTACCGATCCATAATGATGAGTTGTGAAACAGCAAAACAATCTGCAGATGATATATATATATATATATATATATATATATATATATATATGTGAAGAACAATAAATGCCTACCGAGTCAGAGTAACTGATGAGTTGTGAAACAGCGAAAGAGTCTGAAGTTGATATATATATATATATATATATATATATATATATATATATATATATATAGATAGATAGATAGATATATATTATATAGTGGTAAATATACATACATATGCAAAATATATAAATACCCATACATGTATATTTTTAGAATAAAAAATTCCAAGAGGAAGAATCCAGGTAGAACTCAATGTCTAGGACAGAGTAAGGATATAATAAAAACCATTAAACACTAATATTCCATGGTCATAATTTATTCCATTGGAATCGTAAATACGATCCAATTCATCAGACCTACAAATTCAAAAGAAAACAGAAAAAAAAACAACCGGAATGGAAGAGAATTTACAGAAAGTTTAAATATTGGAGGAGGGGAGACATTAACCTTAACAGAGAGAATTTTAGGAGATGTGGGGGGGCAGGGTTTTAATTAAGAGAATCGGTTGAATGTCGACGGATGTCTAATGCATAAAGTTACATTTCGTGGTGACATATATACACCATAGACAATTTGAAGCTAGAATAAGAGGGAGGGGAACAAATAGAATATAGAGAGAGATGGGACGAAGGAAACTAAAATTTTACGTTTACTTAAAAAAACCATCCACTTTGAAATATTCTCCTAAAATTTTGGTCTCTGTTAAGGTTCAATCTCCTATATCCTCATATTTACATTTCTCTAAATTCTCTTTCAATATTTAGGAGATGGGGTTTTTGTTTTTTCATTTTGAATTTAAGGTCTATGAATTGGATCATGTTAAATTCCAATGGAATAAATTATGACCATATAAATATTATGTTTAAGGATTTTTATATATATATATATATATATATATATATATATATATATATATATATATATATATATATGTGTGTGTGTGTGTGTGTGTGTGTGTAATGCTTCTAAATATCTCTATAGAGCTTAGATTTAAACAGACCGTGATAGACAGAGAGATATATAGATATGGAAAGCAGCAGACAGAGATAGACATACAGTTAGACAGACAGAAATAGAGATGGAGACATAGAATGAATAAATTTACGAGTGTGCTGACAAGGATTCAGGGGATTTTATTGTCACTCTCATTACCCATTAGGCAGACAGATTAACGGACAGAAGATTGCGTTTTCATTTACTGAAATACACTTTAACACATAGTGTTCCCCATCCAATTTTTTATGTGATTCTTCTTTGCAGAAACGGGTGTCAAAACTATGACATTGAAGATGAGCATGCGCTAAAATATTTATCCGTATATATTACTTTATCTTAAAAATAACATTTTATCACCAAGTAATTTAATGGAATACCTAGAAAATAATGAACGTACTAGACAAGATCTGAGGGATTGTATTTTTATTTTCTCATTTAACATCATAGATAGATAGATAGATAGATAGATAGATAGATAGATAGATTTTAGCTAATTGAGATAGCTAGCTTGCTAGATAGATTGGAACAAACTGATATATACAGATATATAGATTTGAACAAAATGAGATAGATAGATAGATAGATAAATAAGTAAAACAGTGGTATATATATATATATATATATATATATATATATATATATATATATATATATATATTTAATTCCTAAGATTCCCTGGATTGGGGATAGTGGTCAGGGCTTAATTAAGCAGGTTAGCAAGTCGGTTTCGGTTGTTTCCCATCAGTTGCTTTACGTAGCATTTTTCAAACTAGGTCTGCGTTTCCGTCTTTTCGCAAAAAATGTATTGCCCTACATCAAATTGAGTAATTTAGTATATGAATTTAATTGCCAGTGTGCTGCTGGTTATGTGGGGCGTACAACCTTGCATTTGGAAAACTAAAAAAATCAGCATGTTCCTTCCAAAATACGACTTGGTAAGATAGATAGAATATGCTATCTTCCCCCATGAATATGGAATCGGCTATTGCTCAACATTTAGTTGAGAATATAGCTTGTGCCAAATTGTATAAAAAAAAGAGTGGTTTAAAATTATTCATACAGCCGATTCCAATAATCATTTGAAGATTTTGGAATCGGTCTGTATAGGATTTAAAAACTTCTCTCTGCCGGCAGAAAAAATTTATAAGGTCTCTGAATCTGTTGGGGATATTTTATTTTAACTATCCCTCGCTATTTATTTTTTCGATAACCCTTCCCTCGTTACAAGTATATATACTTGTTCGTTATTTTAGTGTGTTTCCCCCTTTTTTTGCTCTTCAATATCGCTATTATTCATTTCGCTAATCCAACGATTGTCTCCTGATGAGATGTTGGCTGAAAGGGCTCTAGAGACTTTTAATATTAAAATCAATAATTTCCTAGTTTTTAAACTATTTATAAATTTTGTACCTCCAAACATTTGTTTATATATATATATATATATTAAGAATTATGACCCGAGCAAGTCGTGAAGCCACTAGGATAAAGGGGGTTGCAGAAGATTTGGAGCAAGAGCAGATATGAGAGATAGAAGAAGGAGGAGGATAGTGTGTAGATCAAGGTAACTGGAGGTGTCGATTGACATTACATTTGAATTGTTGGAGATTATAGCTTTCAGTGAAACAGTAATTGGGAAGGGTGTTCCACAAGCGAGAGGTGCGAAGTATGAAGCTATTGGAGTAGAAGAGACGGCTACATTTAAAAGTTTCTACAGTGAAAGGGTGAGAGAGGGATGCCAGCCTCGTAGGGCGCTTGAATTCATGGAGTCTGGGAACCAGTGAAAGCAGCTCCTCGGAGCAATTGCCATGAAAGTATTTGTAGAAAAAGACAGAGAGTGGCGACGGCGCGTCTGTGAGAGAGTGACTGTAGACGAGACGCCAGATCATACTGATATATATATATATATATATATATATATATATATATATTTGAATAGAGAGATAGATAGATAGATAGATAGATAGATAGATAGATAGATAGATAGATAGATAGATAGATTTTTAGAACTAAGATAGATAGATAGATAGATAGATATTTTAGAGACTAAGATAGATAGATAGATAGATAGATAGATATTTTAGAGACTAAGATAGATAGATAGATAGATAGATAGATAGATGAATAGATACTGAACAGACTGAGATAAGCTCACAATGAACAGACTGAAATAAATAGATAGACAATGAATCGACTGAGATTGATAGACAGGCAATGAAATTTTTGATATAAATAACGATAGACAGAAAGACTTATTTTTAATTAAATTTACTATATCGATGTAGTAGTCTCTATTCTAATTCTTTTCACATATTTATTGAATACGTTACGTGGCCATGACATAATGTATCGACTAATTTAACTATTCGTGCATGGACATGCCCAGGGCTCTTCAGTGAAGATGTCGCCATTGACTGAGCTTTTATATTACGTCATGCATGCATTCACATTTTTTATTTTTCGCCATTCTTTGACATATATCTTAGGAGACTAAATTAATGATTAAAAATCTCAAGAACATATTATTTGGGTGAGAATTAAATTTGCATGCAAATATCATTCACGTTCTTGAAAGAAAATATTGTGCAATCAAATAAAATCAACATAAAATCTGGAAATTTCTTCTTCACCACGGTAAATTTGCCAGCATTTCTGAATATAAACCGTTGTGCAAATAAATTGAAAGAACTGCTTTAGTTTCCTTTCTTACACCATACGGTCAGTTTTCGACGCACTGGAGTAACACTGTGTAATTGATTTCTGTTCGGTTGGTGCATAATTATCAAGCGTTTTTTAAACAATATTTTTTATGAAAAAATAGAAATAACAATTCAACAATGACATTTTTAAATGATTATTCCGGATCGTATGATTACCGACACGCATTTTTTAACCTGAAAATAAAATAATACCCACAAGTAAAGTGACACAACTACTAACCATGGGTATAGCATATCCGATTTTGAAAATATCAACAACAAAAAATTATTAAATATAAATCTTTATAGGAAATATTTTACATGCAGACATCAAACATTGTACTTTGAGTTAACATTAATCCGAAATGAAAAACATATTTAGGTAAAAAAAATCCGGTACTGAAAGTTGTAATTAAAAATAAGAAAATTTGCGCTGTGTACTACGTAACCATGGTTAATGTTCTAGGGTTAAAACAAAACTGTAATTTTTACTAACAAATAACTCACCGACAGAACCGTCTGATAATTATGCACCAACCCAATATATTTTCTTCAAATTAGGTCATTTGAAGTGGTGTGTACAAATATGAATCTATTTTCAGAGTGTATGATGAAATTTGTTTGGCTTTGAAAAATATTGCCTCATCCCTCTTTGAACCAAATTTCCATGATGCCCAGACAATATTGTCTCGATTGTCGATTAGTTATCCTACGGCCATTGTCTACGATGGATGTTTCTCCAAGGAAGCGTATGAAAGTTGTAACGATGCAAGCCTTACCAAAATATTTGTCGTTTATTTTTGAGTAAACAGACATGTTGCAGCTGACTTGTTTTGTCGGTTGTGTGCAGCCCGGCTTTTCGCTGGCTGTTTCCCCCTTTACATTGTAAACATCACTGAATATATTCAACATTATTAGTGTAAATATTGTTTTTGGTTTCATGAAATGTTCGAAATCCCTATAAGCTTGGCGAAAGTGTAGGCAATAGATATATCCTTGTGCAAATCCTTTAAACTACCGGAATAATTCCGATATTCTTTACGTTTTTCGTATTTTTCAAATGAAACATTACCCATTGCACATGTTAGCAATTAGTATTCGATTCCACGCAGTCGTTCCTTGCAGATTGGATACAAGTCAGCAGAGTTTCCGGGCCAGACTATAATACTTTGATTTGCTGACAGGCAAAAATTGCTAGTGTGCAGCGTTACAATTTTCGTACGCTTCCTTGGAGTAATGTCCACTGCATACAATTTTCGTAGGACAACTAATCGACAGTAGAGACAATACTGTCTGGGCGCGATAAAAAATCTGATGCAATCACTGATGACGCAATATTTTTGAAGGCAAAACAAATTTCATCGTACACCCGGGAAATTGTTTCATTGTTTCATATTATTGCTCACCACTGCAAATGAACTTATCCGAGGAAAAACAGAAAGGAAACTAAAGCAGTTGTTTTCATTGATTTACACAAGAGTCTATGTACTACCATTGCACAGTGCTACGAAATTAGAATACTTCGCGAAAATTAATCTAACTCTGTTAACGAATAGCGATCCTCATCTTCTGAAAAAAAAACTGTCATTAAGAAATAAATTTCGTGGCTAAAATTACAAATAAAATACTAAGCTGAAAAAGTAACTCCAAATAAAGAACATCATGTTTTGTTTTGTTTTTCATTCAGTCCACAGAATATCCGTGTCGCATTGTTTAAGGAAATGGCATTCCTTAAAGGTTGCAACCACTTACTATTGTCCCGTATTAATTAATCTTTTCATGCATTTTCCTCAATATGAACAGCTTGAACTAATTTATTTTTCATTGTCATTCTTTTTTAGTTGAATTATCGAATGAATACTTCGTTTCCCTTACTAGCACCAAGTGACTGCAAGCATATGGACAGTAGTTGCATCTCATAGTGGAAATAAAATGAAAGGTTGACAAACCACCTTACTTCATACAAAATATTAGGAAGGAATCCCACATCAATACAAGAAAAAACGATAACAGGTACGTTTTTCTGAGAATTGGTCAGGTGTTGTATGGATGTGCGGGTGGTGTTAAGTATAATTGTCAGAATTGTTAATCGGAAAGCAAAGTTCTAATTCTAGTTTGGTTCGTTATACACACTTACGCGCAAATACACTTGAGAAAGGTATGAATCCACTATATCTCCCCCACATAGGGGTTAATTAATAATACTTGTTTCACTAACGGATTATTATTTCTAAAAAATTAGAATATAATTGTGCACAAAGTATTTAGATTTCGGCATTAAATAACCTGAAAATGGTTGATATGCCACTAAACAAAAACAACAATCAATTGAATATTGCTTTCAATGGAAGGATTTTATACATTTCAACAGACTGTACTAATGGTTGCGCGATCAATGGCTGCCGAATCTTTCCTAAGTAAAAGCTTATATCACCGTTACTGTTTCTACTCTATTTAAATTTTATTTGAGGATAGTTTCTCTGATCGTATATCAGTGAGAATGTATTTTGCAGTTTATACTTCACACCAGGAAGAGGCAGCTGAAATTTCTGGGACATGTAATGAGAAAGAAGGACCTGGAGAATCTGATACTCACAGGTCGAATAGAGGGAAAAAGAGACAAGAAAAAGCAACGCAAGACATGCCTAGCGGGATTAAGCAAATGGATGACAGAACGTGGTCTAGGGGGAGGTGGCAGAAGGGCAAAACTTATTGAGAGCTTCAAGGGATACGTGGAAGTGGAGAGCCATGATCGCCTACGCCCTGAAAGTACACAGTGCATAAAAAGAAAAAAATCATGAATTTACTCAACGAGATCTATCTGAGTTTATATTTCTAATAAGAAATTCGTCCTGGGTATGACGATAAATTATATCCGCATCCTGGGTAAGATGATAAACTACGTCCAGCAGCAAGGCCTCTGATCAGGAGGTTTTGAGCAGCGTAGAACCACCTCTTAATTACTGGTGTTCCCAGGCCTGCCCTGACCTGGAGTGATCGCACCTGTCAAGGTTCCAGCTATGAGCAAATATTTAACCCCCAAACTGGGACAAAACACTATGAAAGATTAAAAATATGTTTATTGCAAGAAAATTATTACCAGCAATAAATGTTTGAAGAAAAAAATTATTGCCAGCAATAAATTATTACCAGCTATACATTTTTTGAAAAATGAAAAAAAATTATTACCAGCAATAAATTATTACCAACTATACATTTTTTTGAAAAATGAAAAAATTATTACCAGCAATAAATTATTACCAACTATATATTTTTGGAAAAATAAAAAAAAAATATTACCAGCAATAAATTATTACCAACTATACATTTTTTGAAAAATAAAAAAAAAATATTACCAGCAATAAATTATTACCAACTATACATTTTTTGAAAAATGAAAAAAATTATTACCAGCAATAAATTATTACCAACTATATCTTTTTTGAAAAATGAAAAAAATTATTACCAGCAATAAATTATTACCAACTATACATTTTTGAAAAATAAAAAAAAATTCTTAACAGCAATAAATTATTACCAACTATACATTTTTTGAAAAATGAAAAAAATTATTACCAGTAATAAATTATTACCAACTATATATTTTTTGAAAAATGAAAAAAAATTCTTACCAGCAATAAATTATTACCAACTATACATTTTTTGAAAAATGAAAAAAAAAATATTACCAGCAATACATTTTTGGAAAAAATTGTTACACCAATAAAAATCTTGTCGGCATTAAATAACCCATTGAGGTTGATATGCCGTAAAACAAACCAAACCAAACCAATATATGCTGAGATAGATAGATAAAAATATTACAAAGCAATCAAAATTTTGTCGGCATTAAATAACCCATTGAGGTTAATATACTGTAAAAAGCTAAACCAAATCAAACCAATCAGAAATGTTAAGTTCCAAAGAATAGTTACTTCATAACCTTCCATACCCTTTTTCGGACATTGTTCAAAGCATTTTTAAGCATATGGCTCATTGTAATGAATACATATCATCTAATGAATATACACCCAATCCTGTTGTGTTGATCTTTCTGTTAATTAAGTGTTAAAATTGAACATAAAAAAACTTAAATAGGTGTTCTTATTATTATGATTAAATACTCTCAGACTCTTGTCGATTCTTACATGTTCGTCCGGCCAGCTGCTGATTGTCATATCGCAGATTAAAGACACGAGACTTTCTTAAGCACACGGACTCTTCCAAACAATGTTGCAACCTACTCACATCCAAAGATGTTAGCTATTCACAAAGCGTCCAGCGTGGCAGAGATATTCTTTTTAAAAATGATTCACTAGACACAAAAGGGACAACATGAACTGCAGCACTGCTACGTTTCGTCGATTTTAAATATCAGGTCCCTCAAAAGATAGCGAGACAATCGATCATTTTTTTCGGTAAAATTGGCTGACTATATAGCTAGCATTCGTGGAACAATCTTTCGAAATTGTATGATGTCTTAAGAGTTTACACTTTCATTGAAATGCATGATTTATGCACAAATAAAAGTTATAAAAAATGTAAATGTGTAAACAGATTAAATGGAGAGTTTGAAAAATTAGAATTATATAGCAGGTGTAAAATTCAGCAAACACACTGAAGAAACTTAAAATATACAACCTTGTGCAAATTAATTAAATAAAAATGCATAATTCCATTATTATTTGCTTTTTTCCTATTTCTCCAATGCAACATGGTCTATTGCACATGTTGATACTTCGTATGTCGATTCCACGAAGTCTTTCCTTGCAGATTGATCACAGATTCTAGCCAGGATTTAAATCAGAAGTTTCCGAGCCAATAGATAGTACTTTGATTTGCTCACAGGTAAGGCTTGCCATTGGTTTCGTTCAGTGCTACAATTTTCTTACGCTTTTTTGGAGTAATGCCCATCGCAGACAATGGCCGTAGGACAACCAATCGACAGTCGAGACAATAGTGTCTGGGCGTGATGAAAATCTGATGCAATCACGGATGACGCAATATTTTTCAAGGTTAAACAAATTTCATCATACACACCAAAATTGGATTCATATTACTGCATACTACTTAAATGAACTAATCTGAGGAAAAAATAGGTATCATTTACACTCACTCACTCCAGTTGGTCTAAAATTGACCGTATGCTGAGGGAAAGTAAACTAAAGTAGCTGTTTCAATTAATTTGCAAAAGGGTGTATATTAACAAATCATGTATAGTGTCTGTGAATATATGAGAAAATGCATGCAATTTCCAATAGTATAATTCTTTCACAAGGAAGTGCGACGTACAGAGTGTCGTGTAGTGATGGTGAAATAAAAAAACAATAATTTTACCATCTATAAAAATACACGTATATTAAAAAGAGCCGACCAAACAAAGCCATATTTCGACCAACCAATCAGAAATCTTTCACAACAACGATGTAAAAATGAATTAGACTAATAATAAACAAGGATAGGTAATTTTCCCCATTTCTAAAAATAATTAGATAGAACAACCAATTACAAAGATCTCACAACCTGGGAAGATGTCTTGAGCCAATTAGAAGCAGAGCACCTCTTCTCAAAGCACATCTATAGATCTGTATAGAAACAGATGAATAATCAAACAAAATAAGAGTTGAATTAATTTTCGTTTACTATCCGATTTTGTGGTCATCGTCCCATACCAGGAGAAGAAATACGATATTTACATGACTAGCTGACACCCATATTCTGTTTTTATCGTCCTTGCTCCATTGAAAACAAACCTACCTTTCTTTACCATTTGCTCAAGCGTTGGTTATTATATTTGGAAACATGTATGCTTACATATATGTATATATTTACTTTCTCCCGCTTATTGTCTCTGTTTCTCTATGTTTCGTATGTACAGGAATTTTTATACTTGTACTCTTGAACCTTCAACTTGTACGTCTGTATAATTATATATAAAGACTGGTTTTGTATTTTTCAACATACTGCGCATTTTAATCACTGCACAAAGCCAATATACACCCAAATCAATTATACTGTATGTTACTCTTTAGAAGATATCCAGATACATTAGACGCCCTTCACAAATTTTTAAGTAAGAAATCGGAAGAAACGGGTTTTTTGTACTTCGTGGTCCATCAAACGATCCACAATTTTACCAACTAAATAACATTTTTCAGCATGAAAACCTGGCTAATCATGACAAATTGGTCACAAACCGAGAAGTGCCACATTTATGGCAACTAGTTATTTATGGTCTCCACACTAAGACGAGATTTCACATGTTCAGTTTTTAAGGTGGACAGCCCGATCGCTTATACCCGGGCTAGGAACAAAAATTGCTCGCAGCCACCGCATCTCTCACTTGCGCTGGCCTTGGTGCGGGCACCGATCCCTCTCTCTGGTGCAACGAGAGGGCGCGGCCTCGGGCAGCTGTTCCCCAGGGCCGGCACCTCACATTATAATTTTCCTCAGTTGCGACTCTGTCCTTTGACGGAGCCGCCCCTGAGTGCACCCAGCTCAAAGACAGAGCCGCAACTGAGAGATGATAAATAGATGTGTTACAAAATACTCGAGAGAGCGGTTTACACGCGGTTTATGGTAACTAATAATAAAGGGTGTTTCATTAAGACGGATCAAAGTCACCAGTAAATATATCACTGTTATGTCTCTTTTGGATCATGTTATTTAAGTCATGGCAAGTATCTGTGAAAAATAATATCGCTCAAATATCCGCCAAGGCTTCGGCGATACACCTCCACTCGATGGTAAAAATTTTTGATGTCGTCTCTTCATAGTTGCTCGTCGATCTCACCAATGGGCCTTATTATCTCATCAGCTGTTGAATTTTTGTTGGTTTCTTGGCATAGACCTTACTTTTGAGATGACCCCAAAGGAAGATATCTAAAGGCGTCAAGTAGCGCGATTTTCGTGGCCAATTGACTTTGCTGTTTCGAGAGATGATGTGACCTGGATACTTCTCATTGCAGTTTAACCCAGCTGCATTAAGCGCTTTTATTAAAACTTTGTTAATTTAACTTTGAAACACTGGACTTGTTTTACCTTCAAGAACTCAGAATCGTATATAACCGGAGAGCTGTCGCAATCCCACACCCAAAACTTATATCTCCTGTCGCTGACATACCATTTATAGGACGGGGGGTAGTTTTAGATAGGGAAAAGAAACACGGCTTATGAGCAGCAAAATATTTTACCTTATTGGTGTGGCCTTGTTAGGGTCAGAAATAAAGACACAGAAGAGAGGAATTGAGTTAAATAAATATATTAAAAGAAACAGTAATACAAACGAGAGTGTTACAGCAAGAATGTTCGGTCTGACTGTCAGAGCTGACTGCTGGAAATGTCCTTCTTAAAAGGCAATACCTGCTCCTATTTATAGCTGGGAGAGTCTATGCGTTCGTACCATAATACTTATAAATGGAGCTAACGATCGTTGTCTTTAGATAAACAGCTCATATCGTATCATCAGAATTTCACTTATTATTATTATTATTATTATTATTGCTGCTGTTTTGCGTTTTAACACCTGCTGTCTCCGGGCATTAGATTAAATAACTGTGTTTCCGCAAATAACCTGTATCCTTCTTAGATACCTTGAGAACCAACGCCATGCCAAATGCTACATATGTGTTTAAAAATCATTAGATTTCTATTTATTTCAATGTCGATTCTCTTGTTACTACCACAGATCAAGTTCGAGCCTACATATACGTGAGGGTAGCAAATGTATCGTTCGTATTATCCACATGGAAAATGATGGCATTCTTTATTTCTCAATTTCCTTCATGTGCTATATCCAAAGACAATATTCAAATGTTCGTCTATTTGCAGCTCGGATACGCCATGCCACTTCCAAAGAACTGAATTACCCTAATTTCTTCCGTATTCGAAATATAAAAAATATGTTCAACTCGAATTTTTTCCCCCAAAAATGCTACTTCAACAATAAATCTTAACATTTTCAAGCCAAAGTCCAATCATTATATGTTTTCTTTATCTTCAGTCTCCACTTCTTTTCACTTAGTTTTTAATTCATATCACTCATCTTATACATCATACCGTCCTGGGTATGACGATAAACTACGTCCAGCAGCAAGGCCCCTGATCAGGAGTTTTTGAGGAGCGGGAACCAACTCTTAAATGCTGGTCTTACCAGGTCCACACTGACTCTGTGTAGTAGCAGATGTTAAGGTTGCAGGTATGGGCAAATAGTTAACACCCAAACTGGTGATCAAAACACTATGAAAGTGTAAAAATAGGTTTTAATATGAGAAAAACATTGTAAAAAATATCAGCAGCAATAATTTTTTGAAGAAAATTTCTTACCAGGAATACATTTTTACCAGCAAAATTTTTGAAAAAAAATATTACCACCAGTAAACTTTTGTAAATAAAATATTACCAGCAGTAACAATTTTTTTCGGCGTAAAATGACCCCTTGAGGTTGATATGCCGTAAAACAAAAAAAAAAAATTAATATATACTGAGATAGATAGATAGATAGATAGATAGATAGATAGATAGATAGATAGATAGATAAAAAATGAAAAAAAAATATTACCAGCAATAGATTTTTGGAAAAAATATTACAGCAATAAGAATCTTGTCGGCATTAAATAACCCATTGAGGTTGATATGCCGTAAAACAAAACCAACCAAACTAATATATGCATAGATAGATAGATAGATAGATAGATAGATAGATAGATAGATAGATTAATAAAAAAAATTACCATCAATAACAATTTTGTCGACATTAAAAAAAACCTTGAGATTGATATGCCGTAAAACATAACCAATCTTACATCATAAATAATCTAACAGTAATCCTCAACATTGAGTGCCTTTCGGGATTTGTATTAAATGAATCGGTTAAAAATGACTTTGGGCTAGTGAAAGGTGCGGGTCTTTGTGACTATACTTCTTTGAAGCTTTGTGCTACAGAATCACAAAGAACCCTACCAAAAAACAGTAATCACATAAGGATTTCAACAGCAGAAACTAACATTGATATCACATGTATCTCGAAGGGAAAATAATGAAATAATCATGATGCTGACGTTACATGATATTTCAAGCAAAAATTAGGAAGGAAAACCCAATCAATAGTGAACTTGAGAATCCTATTTTCTTGAAAAATTGTTTTAATAGAAACATAATGAATTTCAACGGTAAAGTATTGGTTTCTCGGTCAATGAATACTAAATGGAACGGTTAATATTATTTACCATTACTATAAGAAATGAGAACACATACTACGCTAGGCCGGTTTAACGTGGGATCTCCGAGCCCGTGGGCTCGGCTAAAAAATACGCCCATTGAACCCGTATAAACGGTTTACCTTCCCGAAAGAGAATCGGCCCTTCGGCGTAGCCCATTCGGGTTCCACCCCACCCGAAGGCAGAGAGTTCAACCGATCAGCCGGTCAAGACTTGAACGACTGACTCTGACAAATCTGATTATGACGGCCACATAATGAAGAAAAACCTCACTCAAGGGGCACTTGCTTCTCATCACATGAATGCCGAATGTTTTCTTATGTTTTCTTACCATTTCAATTATATTTTTGAATGAAAAATGCTCAGCTAAAACTGTATCAACTAGGATTTGGTATGTTCTATTGGTCTGAATTTCGAAATATCAAAAATATATTTTGAATTTTTTTCAAGAGACTGTTCGATTATTATTATTATTATAAATAGTGCACTCGTGTCGTCAAAATTGATGAGAAAGAAAGTATTTTAAGTAATATGTATTATATTGTAATTTTCGTTTAATCCAAATACAATTTTGTAATTTAAAATAGATCGTTCTTAACGATAATAATTGAACAGTGTACAATTAATAAACACCTAAGGAAAAGTATCCGTATATTATCTTCATAAATGTTACATTCTTACAACCAAAATTATGTTTACTGCAAAGGTTTCCAAAGCGCAATATGTTTTGTGTAAACATTTGAAGGTCTGATTAATCCTTGATAGTCCGTAGATTCATTCTGTAATTTCAGAGTCTGCTTATTTCTATTCCTACTGAGAGTGACGTATCATCAAATAATTTTTTGAATTCATTTTGTTTGTTACCCTACATCTTTTTTTAAAAATAATAATTTCAAAGTTTAAAATGAATTTATAAAAATGAATAAAGCGTTCTCGAAGATGTGGCGTATTATACAAACGAACTCTCTTCGATAGCGTTATGAGTACACCTCAGCGGGACCAAGTTAGCATGACATTGGCTGAGTTATCGTTATTTTGCACTCTGTCCCTCAATTGTAACGCACACTAAAAGTATGTATATATATATATATATATATATATATATATATATATATATATATAATTTTTTTTAGTTTAAAAGGATATATATATATATATATATATATATATATATATATATATATATATATATATATATATATATATATATATTAATTGAATGAAATATTTTATCAGAGATAGGCGTGTTTAAATATAAAAAAAGCATAGAAGTCAAGACTTAGAGGCGACAATATGTTTCCTGCTAGATGCAATCGACAGGCCACGATATATAAATATAAAAGGAACATAAAGTCAACACAAAGTGTTGAAACTATATTCACTAATATATATATATATATATATATATATATATATATATATATATATATATATACAGAGAGAGAGAGAGAGAGACTGATCTCTACACTCACTTTTTTTTATTATAATTTTTAATGTTTAAAATGAATTTATAAAAATAAAAATGCATTCTTGAAGATATATGTGGCGTATTATATATATAAACCCTCTTTGATTGCAAAATCATTACGCGTCAACCGGACCAGATTAACTCGGCAACAGGTGTGTCATCGTTATTTTGCACAAGTTTCCCTCGTTTTAACACACAAAAGGTATATATATATATATATATATATATATATATATATATATATATATATATATATATATATACACACAACAGTTGTGTACGTTACATGTGCGGCATGTTATATATAGATTATTATCATTATTATTATTTAATTCGGCTTTTTAAAAAATTTCCGTTATTTACTTGGGTCGCACGACCGTTACACCTTGCTCATACCTCATAAATAATGGACTATTCCTTTTCCATACCGACATGATACATATCAAATATGCTACTTGGTTTCAGTGAGAAAAGGAATGAATATACACAGAACAACTAACGGAACCATCATTTTGAAGGCAACAAACTGGAATTTCCTGATACTATGACTAACGAAACTTAGACTCCAAAATCCAAAAATATATCTTTTGACAAGGAATTATTATGGTGGATTAAAATATTTTTGTTTCCGGCAGCCATTTTCACCAAGGTTTTCTGTGCGCAAGGAAAGACTATCCAGAATGTTTATTCATTTTAATAATCATCTTTGTTATAATTCTGCTTGTCCCCGCACCCAGCTTTAGTTAGTTCTTAGTTAGTTCGCACGACCGTTACACCTTGCCAGTACCTCGTTAATAACGGCCTTTTCCGTTTTGACCACGTGACAATATTGGTTTGACATATCAGAGAGGCTACATGAGAAAATCTAAGCAATAAAAAAAAAGAAAGAAGGGAAAATAGAAATGTTTAACGTGTTTTAGAGTAAAAAGTAAAAAAAAAAGAAGTTAATTTCATCTTTTCATTTTTTACCTCCTTACTTCTTAAAGTAACGAACAACATTCGCAGTTAGGATTCTTATTGGAACATTTGGTTAAAGCTGTTAAGAGGAAACGATGCTATAAAGGAATTTCTGTCGATATTTTATTGTTGTAGACCTCGTCATGAGCTGATTCAGTCATAAACTGAAGAATTAAGATTCATCAGAATATTCAAATTGGAAAATTTTGAAATTCTCACAGATTAAAACTAGTTATTATTATTATTATTATTATTATTATTATTATTATTATTATCATCATCATTATTATTATTATTGTGAAGGTGATATAATATTTCTAGCGTTATTTTTATCATTTTTATTTCGCTATTTTTAATTAGCTTTGTTAATATAATCTTCAGCTCTTCATTATCAACGTAACTTTTATGATCGTTAGAATGAATATCATTGTCATTTCCTTTATAGCTATTTGTCCTTCATTCGAATTGCTAATGCTGTTTTACATATTCTATTTTTTAATTCACTCGTCTTCTTTCCTTGTTCAATTATTTAAAATACAAAATAATTTTAATCTGCACAGGTGAAGAGGTGCCGGCTTACGTCAATTTCACAAAAAGCGCGACTATTTCGGAACAAAACGAGTAAAAAAAAAACAACAACAACAACAAAAGAGCTGGAAAAATAAAATCACAAAAATATTCTTTTTATTTTCACTATTTTAATTAATTTCCTTTTATTATTATTATCATTATTATTAATACCTTTTTTTTTATTGCATTGGTTAAACAAATTCAATTTTGCAAAATCATGACCGCTTCGAAATCACAAAGAAGGCCGCTACGTCGCTAGAAATAGCGTGTACAAATGGAAATGAGGCTGACTTCCCGTTTCCGGACACTTCCGGTAGTGAACATGAAAGCAAATATCTTTAAATAACTATGTACTCATGCTGCATAGAATTTTTCCTTTTGCATATATTGTTGAAATTATTATGTACACCAGGAGAAATGAAAAGAAGGACTAAAATCCAATTAAAAACCTACACTGTATTAGATTCTATTGTGAAAATTATTTTTTAACAATAAAATTAGACGTAACCAGCTTCTTTTTGCAAATCTTTCAGGATATTCTCATAATTGTATGGAAAATACAAAGAATGTAAATATTAGATGCGCTATCTGTTATCTTAGATATATATTCAAGAACTTGTGAGATTATAATACTCAACGGGTGCATTGATCGTCATATTGTACATACATATATATATTAAGAAATGGACAAGGTCCGACAATTTATTTATTAAAGACATTTTTATGTTTAACGTTGTTATTTATAGATACAAGTATTTAAGCAAATGCTCTGTTTCTGATAAACAGTATTAAATAACATTTACCGGCGTGAATGTCCGAGAAATTTTCATAGAAAATATTCGTTCTTTGACAGGATTCGAACCTGCATCCTATACGGAACCGTCATTTACGCTGACGTGCCTTGACCGCTCGGCCACAAAGAACTTTATAAATAACAACGTTAAACATAAAAATGTCTTTAATAAATAAATTGTCGGACCTTGTCCATTTCTTAATATATGACGTCATTTGTTTACATTTGATACGCCAGAGCAGTTATGAATGTACGAGATTCATGGAAGATTGAAGTTTATAAGCAGTAAATTCGACCTTGTCTACCGAAAGGTTCTTTGTGGCCGAGCGGTCAAGGCACGTCAGTGTAAATGACGATTCCGTATAGGATGCAGGTTCGAATCCTGTCAAAGAACGAATATTTTCTATGAAAATTTCTCGGACATTCAGGCCGGTAAATGTTATTTAATACTGTTTATCATAAACAGAGCATTTTCTTAAATACTTGTATCTATAAATAACAACGTTAAACATAAAAATGTCTTTAATAAATATATATATATATATATATCATTAAATAATATAGACAAATGTTGTTTATTTAATTTATGTAAATTCTTTCATAACATCTGATAGGCTTAATAACATTGTCTTTAAACGACGAAAAAATCACATTATTGATACATATTTTTAATCCAATCAAAACATCCGGCTTACATAAGCCATTATCAAAGATGAAAATTACGGTACA